CACAGAAGGAAACAGCCACTCCCACATCTAGGAATGCTCCCCACTGGAGAGTTGCGGAGGGCCGGGTGTGACATCAGCCTCAGATGAAGGCCTGGGCAGAGTCAGCCGAGGGTGAGTTCATTTAAAATGTCACTGCCTGAGACGCAACCCTTGCCCCACGGTGGGTTCCGTTTGGGGAGCGCCTTCCTGCGCCAGGCCCTGGAGATGGAGGGAGGCACGGCCGCAGTGCCCAGCCACCCGCCCCTCCCCCGCCTCTGGCCCCAGAAGGGTCCCTCAAGCGGGTCCTGCTGTTTTCGCTGCAAAACTGCCTCAGCAGCTGCTTCCTACCCCCGGCCAGGCCCTGGGCCAGGTCCTGGAACCAGAGAGGAGCAGAGGCCTCCAGGCCAGGGCTTGGAGCTCCGGGGGGGTCAGGAGAGGGCCCCGCCTGGCAGGTCTGCCTCCTGCTGCTCTGTGCCGATGCGGTACCCACACACGGCCCTGCCCTTGTGCCTCTGCCCACGCTCGCTGGTACTTGGTGCTGGGTTTTTCTAGTCCTGTGCTGCCCAGCTTAAAGGACACCAGCCACACGTGGGCCACCACTGCCTCGGGCAGGGGTGAAGGGAGCTGCTCCCGAGTTCAAAGTCAGCACGGGAGAAGAATATCAAGCACCTCCTTACTAATCTGTACATTGATCCCAGTTGAAATTGTAATACCTTAGATAAGTTGAGTTAAATAAACGAACTATTAAAACAAATGTCACCTGTGTCCTTTCACTGTGTTTAACGAGGCTGTAGGATTATGTCTGTGGCTGGCATTCTGTTTCTCTTGCACAGCCCTAATCTGTAATGATCCTTGGAAAGGAAATTCGGAAGGCGAATTCATCCATGCACATAACACTGATACTAATTGACCACCTACTATGTGTCAGGAACGCAGACACCAGCCAGCTGGGTTCCTAGCCTCCAGAACCTCCCTAGAGGGCCAGGTACCTAACCGAGGCCACGCTCCAAGGCAGTGGGGGCCCAGGACTCAGACTCACATCTCGGGGGCTGCTCCACATGCTTGCCCCCAAGCGTGCTGAAGTCTTGCTCAGTGTGGATGTCTGCTTTCCCTTCTTGGAGACGGGCCGGCACGGGGCAAGGTCCCTCTATGCCTCTCCCTTCCTGAGTGGCTGTCTTGTGCCTCTGTGTTTCTCTTCAAGTCCAACAGGGTGGTCATCTCAGTGGCTGACGGGGACCCTGAGCTGGGGTGGGTGATGCACGTTCCCAGGGCCAGCACCCAACAGCACCTTGGGCCATGGACCAGAACCTCATCCCACCAAACATAGAAGCAGGAGGAGGAATTCTAAAGATGGCGCCTATAGTTCAGCGTGCACTGTGGCGGTTTTCTTACAATCATTTCGAACCTATTTTTATTGAGCGCTTTATAAAGACATGTAAATGAAGGTGCCGAGTCAACATGCAATTCTGCTCTTTCCCTTAAGGTGAAATCTTTATTTAGACTAAAATTCGTTTATGAAAAATAAGCTTTTCTTGAATAGACCAAGTTCCTCTCATGCCATGATGTCTCCCCAAGTCTGTTTAATACCCAAACCAGTCAGAAAGGCCATCTTGTCGCATCACCATGCTGGCTGCCATTAGCGAGAGATCCCAAGTCCTAGGGGATGGTTTTTCGGAAAGGAAAGCGTCTCACTTATACTCTGATTTTTGCCACCTTATCATGAAAGTGGAACATCCATGCCCTGGTTACACTTCCTGGCTCGTTCAGACCTGACAGATGCTCAACTGTATTCTAATTGGGAAAAGTTAGAGAGAAACTTGTAAATTTTATATATATATATATATATATATATAGGCTTCCCAGGTGGCTCAATGGTAAAGAATCCACCAGATTCAAGAGAAGTGGGTTTGATCCCCGGGTGGGGAAGATCCCCTGGAGGAGGAAATAGCAACCCACTCCAGTATTCTTGCCTGGGGAATCCCATGGACAGAGGAGCCTGGTGGACTACAGTTCATAGGGTCGCAAAAAGTTGGACAGACATGACTGAACAACTGAACCTGCATTTATTAATATATATACACATAAGCAATATATTTATCATATATACGAGATATACAAGGTATCACAACTTGCAAAACAGCAGAGCTCCTATTTTTGTTTATTTTAATTGAAGTAAAACAAAATTTTTATTTTGTTTAACTTAAAGTTGATAAGTGACTGAGTTATGTGTATATACATTCTTTTTCATATCCTTTTCCTTCCGCTATGGCTTATCAGTCTGTTGAACATAGCTCCCCACACTGTGCAGTAGGACCTTGCTGCCCATCCATTCTCTGGGTAATAGTTTGCATCTGCTAACCCCAGGCTCCGAGTCCACCTGTCTCCCTCCCTCCCCCTTCGCAGCCACAAGCTGCTCACAAAGCTCTTTTTTAAACATTGGTGTTTGAAGTGATATCTGCAGATCGATAGCCGTACCCCTTTTCATTTTAGAATCATCTCCATCCTTTATCACTGAATCCACACCACACTCTGCCAGATAACAGCGAATGTCCCTTTGGTTGGGTTGGTTTTTTTTTTTTTGGCCATGCCCTGTGGCATGTGGGATCTTAGTTCACCTCCTTCTGTAGACCCCACACGGTGCTCTGGGCCACGATCCTCACCAGGCCTACTTGATAAAACTCAGGCAGGGAGGAGCCCCACAGGCGGTGGAGCTGGGAGTCCGCTGGAGGCCCAGGGAGCCCTCCGGTGCAGCAGGATGAAGAGATCATCTGCTACCACCAAAACCTGGTGTCTCCGGCCCACCACCACCTCAGCTCAGAGCATCTGTGTTTACCTGGCCTTTGGGCAGGGGCTCCACCTGCCCCCGTCCATGGTGACTGGTAACCACCCCCAGGCTGCCCTCCTTGCCCAGCCTGTCCAGGTGGAGCCCCCTGGGCACCCAGCTTAGGGGCCTTGGCCTGACCTCACCTGCCATCCTGAGCCGACACTGTAGCCCCAGGGAGCCAGGCAGGCCGCTAGTGCAGTTTCTCCACACACAGCCTTGCACTGGCAGATGGGCCAGCCCCCCGCCTCCTGTGGGAAGAGTCCTCAGGGCCGACCCGGCAAAGCAGGAGGCCAGGGGTGGGGGGGGGGTGGGTGGCGCTCCAGCCCCTTGGTCTCTCTCGGCCTCTCCTCTACCCCGGCCCCCCGGTCGCTTTCCCCGGGGCAGCACACAACGGGGTTGCCATTCACCTCCCTGCTCAGGGGGATTTGCTGCTGCAGCCCCCTTAGCAAGGCGCTCCAGCTCCCCCCGGCAGGCTGGCTTCAGTCTCAGCTCCTGCCCACCCCCACCTCCCACTGAATTTGACTGGCTTCAGTAGCAACTAATTCTCCAGGTCCTTCTAAGCCATCGTTCCAGCCCTCCTTCACCACCCAGGGCTCAAAGGTGTGGCTCCTGGGAGCACTATTGCAGAGAGGTTTGGGCTGCGAAGGTGGGTGTCCTGCAGACCTTTCTTCTCTTTGTGGCCAAGCAGCCCTTCTGCTCTGCGTCCTGGGCCTTCCAAGCCTTTGCTGTGATTTTGGGTCAGTGAGGCACTTCCTTCTTTGCTTTCAGAGCCATCTTCATGAAAAAGGGGTCATTTTAAAAACCTATTTTAATTTTTTTCTGATATTCAGATAACTATTCCTTATATTTGACTCATGAGTACAGGTAATAAAGTGCCATTTTTGACAATGATGTCTATTTCACAAAAACACTCAGTAAGGAGGGTACATAAGATACTGTTGCTCATTCTAATATTCCTTTTCCCTACTTCCTTACTAGCAGAACCTTTACAAGTGTACACTATAGTGAGTCACAATTACTGGGGATGGCAAAGTGCCCAGCCAGAAAAAGGAAACTTCCCAGCCTTCTTTGAAAAGAGTGAGTGAGAAGCCATTGGGTACAGCTTCTAGGAAGGTTCTTATGCACTACCCTGTTTCTTCCTGTTCCCCCAGAGCTGGGATGTGGTGGCTGGATCTCTAGCAGCCACTTTGCATCGCGAGGTGATAAAATGGCAGAGCAGAAAGCTAGAAGGCACCTGGGTATCTGATAACTGTGGCATTCTACACCAACCCCGGACTGTGTAGTTCCAGATCGTTCTAACATGAGAGAGCTTTTATCTTGCTTAAACTATTGTTATTTGAGATTTTTCTGACATGTGTTGCCTAATCTATTCCTAATGGCTATGGAAGCTATCACTCTGGTCTTTATTTTATAGAAAACAGTACTGAGTACAGTATTTTATAGAAAACAGTACTAGCATGGGCCAGTCTCCAAGCTGGGATGTGTGTGAAAAATTGAAGTGCTAGTCACTCAGTCGTGTCCAGCTCTTGGCAACCCCATAGACTATAGCCTGTCAGGTTTGTCCATGGAATTCTCCAGGCAAGAATACTAGAGTAGGTAGCTGGGATTGTGACATCTATTGTCTCATTCATTCTCACAGTCATTCAACGAGGCAGTTACCACTATCCCAGTGGATAGGCACAGAGTCTGAGCTCAGAGAGGTAAGAGGACCGGACAGTAGAGAGCCAGGGCAGAGCTGAAGCTCTCCGGCCCTGGTCCCTTCCCACTCCGGCCCAGATCCATTTGGGATGAGTAGTTTTCTGACCCCTCCCCTGCAAAGCCACAGTATTGAGGGCTTGTCTGTTCACCATGGTCTTGAATCCTCTTTCGGAATTCACTTGAACCCTTTGGAACTCAGCTTCTCCACCTTTAAAGTGGGATTGGGGGTGGGGCCAGTGTCAGACACCCTCCTGGCTTCCACTTCTGGGATTCCAGCACAATCGGAGACTTCCCGCTGGTTTGGTTTGGTTTGAACCCTCCCCTTTCCACAAAGGGACAACTCCAGAAATGCTAACTGAAACCCTGTCCAGGCGGGGAGGAAAATTTTTCTGTAGTTTGAGAACCTTCTGGGTCAGACAGGAGCCCTTGGAAGAGAAAGAGGAAGCGCCCCTCTGTTTATCTCCCTCTGGTGACATCACGCTTCCTTGCTTTGTTGCAGAACCTGCAGGCCAGGGACCTGCCCATCCCCTGGGAGCACCTCGCTCAGCTGCTGCTCCGAAGGGGCTCTCACACGGCGCTGGCCCGTGCTGCTCCAGAAACAGGAAACACTGGTGTGGGGCTGGAGGTCCTCTCGTGGAGTTCTTTTCTCTTTAAAGCAGTTCTCGCTGCTCCTGGGGACAATTCCTGGAGTTCAGGCCCCATTAACCTGGGCCTCTCACAGGCTGGCTCTTAGGGAAGTCAGGGGGACCGAGTCTGGAGGGAAGGGTCTGGGAGGCCTTGGAGGAACACAGAAGGGACAGGTCATGGCCCCAGCTTTGCAGTTACAACCCGAGGGACCCCACTCAGGTCACTGGCTTCTTAGACCTGCCCTTCCCACCAGGATGTGGAAACAGGAGATAGTGGTGAAGTGCATGGACCCGAGGAACCCCAGGGAGCTCCAGTGGTGGTCTTGGGGCCACCACTGATCAGCCACATAGCCTCGGGCAAGTCACAGCCTCAGTTTCTCCATCTGTCTAATGAGCAGGTTGGACCAGCTTGGACCATGGTGAAAACTGGACACGATGAACTTGAAGTTCTATAAGTGTACATGCTCTACCTATCTAAAATAGTATCGAAAATAGATAAAAATCAGTAGTCTGCAAAGACAAGTTGACAGGTAGTGAATGGAGGCAGGCGGGGCAAAGGCAGAATTCCACAGTGGATGGGAGGCTGGGCGCTGAGTCAGATGTTCGCTCATCTCTACTTACTGGGCACCCGCTCTGTGCTGGGCACGTATTGTTTTCCAGGCCTGCCTAGGCACTGGAGAGAACAGCAACAGATGAGAAGGATACAGTCTCCTCCCTCATGGACCTTATTTCCTAGCGGCTGGAAGCCAACAATAAGACAAACACAACAGTGGAATAGTCTCAGTTTGTACCAAGGGCTGGGATGCAGTGGAAAGTGGGAGGGGACCCCCTGAGCAGGGGACCCTTGAGCTGAAATGCAGACCATGAGAAGGGAGCAGCCAGGAGAAGACCTGAGAAGAGGGCTATTGGAGGAGGCAATTGCTGGGCAAAGACCCTGACGGGGCTGGGAGGGTGGGGTGGGGGTTGCTGGGTCCTGCATGGCCGAACAGGGCAGTGAGCATGGACAAGGCCTTTCCAGGCAGGGTGGGGAGGCTAAGTTTAATCTGAGTGCAGCTGAAAAAATGGGTGGTTCTCAGCCAGCAGAGCAACACGGGTCTGGTCACGGCCTCTTCCAGCTGCCGGTCCTGGGCTGGGCTCTCCTTAACCTCTCTGCACCTCCGTTTCCTCTTTTGTAAGAGGAGACTGATCTTCATCACTGCTTCACAAGCCTTTAGCAGTCGTTCCTGGGAGGAACGTGTGGACAGCTGTGTAAGCTCATGCGTGTACACAGGGCCTCCAGAATAAGGGCTTGATAAATGTCAGCGTGGCTGTTTATTTAAATGACTGAAAAACCTTTGACACTCCTCCCGTTGCGGGGTGTGCAGCCCTTCTTAAATCTAGCCGTTTGGCAAGTACTCTGACTGATGCAGCAGAGGTCACAGTGCATGAACCCTGAGGCCAGGTCACGAGGGGCCCTGCGGCTTCTGTCCGGTTCTTGAGTATTGGAGCCCATCACCTGCTTCCCCTTGGGGCGCTCCCCCTTGGAACCCAGCCCAAGCTCCAAGGGGAGCCACGGGAGAGGACAGTCCCATCTGAGTCCAGTCTCTGGGTCACCCAAGCCGGCACGGACCAGCTTACAGCCGCCGGGGTCACCCCAGTCACTGGAGTCACCCCAGTCACCGCGGTCACTGGAGTCGTCCCTGCCAAAGCCCAGCTGAGGCCCTGGGCTTCGTGGCGCAGAGAAGCCGTCCCCTGGAGCTCTGTCCCAAGTCTCAGCCCCCAAGCTCCAAGAGGACCAGAACGTGGCAGTGGGTTGGGGTGGCTTTCTGCACACACAGCCATGTACTGTGGTTGCATCAGCCACTCCCCACCCCCTCATCTCCAGGCCTCCCCGGCCCAATCCGTCTTCCTTGAGCACCCACAGGAGCTACCTTTAATACTCATTTTGGCTTAATCATAAATGATCTAGATTTGTGGTTTGATAACTTGTTTTTAAACAGTACAATTCTTTGTTTCAAATGAAAGCTCAGGTAAATCCCAGTGGAGCTCAGGTGGGGAGGCCAAAGCAACCTTCCCTTGTCCTGCCTTGCTTCGCAGACCCTGGGACAGCAGGGGGACTGGGGGGCCCCAAGAACACAGATCTCCCTGGTCTGGGCCCATGGGACCGCTCACGTCTCTCCTGAAATAGCTGGTGACAACGGCCAGAGTCATCATGGTAGTGGCAGCTGTCTGGTTCTGTACTACTATTTCCTGCCCAGCCTCTGGTTTGCAATCTGTCCCAGGTGTCCCAGGACACAGGCTGGCCCAGCCATCTACTCCTCTGGTTATTTGCCCACAAGGAACCCACTCGTGGGGTTTTCTAGAATTCAGGGAAGTGGTGTAGAGGGTGGGTTGAGCCTAGGCCTAAGCACGCAGGAGGGACTCAAGGGGGCCAAGCAAAAGAAAGTTCTCAGGACACAATAGGTGCTTAATGTGCACTTACTCAGTTATGTTGAACAGCACTTTTGCAACCCCAAGGACTGGAGCCCGCCAGGCGCCTCTGCCCGTGGAATTCTCCAGGCAGGAATACTGGAGTGGGTTGCCATTTCCTCCCCCAGGGGATCTTCCCAACTCAGGGATCAAACCGTGTCTGCTGCACTGGCAGGCAGGGAAGCCCCTAGGGAAGCCCAGGTGCATAATGAAGATTCGGAAGTCACACGTTCCTCGGGAATCAGGACACCCCAGTTCTGCCCGGGCTGTGTCTGCAGGTGCCCCCAGGTCTCAGCCTCCCCACAGAGAATGACACCGCGGCGCCTGCCGTCACATATGGCCTTGCTGATCCTGAAGCTGGCGGCCGCGGCCAGAGGCGCTGGTTCCACTGACCTCTGGGTGATGCAGGCAGGGCCCTTCCCTGCCCAGCCCAGCTTCCTCCTCAGCCTGGGGAGGGGCAGTCACGTGCTCTGACACCAGTGCATGTCGGTGACCAGCCTTCATCCTGACTCTGGCCACAGCCAAGGTCGCAGGGTTCTCGAGGTGATGGGGCCCTGGTCCGGACTCCAGACACGCCTGCAGGAAGTCCCAAGGTCGAGCAGGAAACAGCCTCCTGTGAGGCCTGGGCCAGCAGCCACTCTGGCCTCTCACAGGCCCAAAATCTAAAGAAAGGAGAGAAGCTCCTATGAGCAGAGACCCTCCAAGAAGTTCCTGGTTTCTAAGTCTTGTCTCATCTGCTTATGGTTCTCTAAACCAGTGGTTCTCAATTGGGGAAATTTTGTCCCCAGGGGATGTTTGGTAATTTCTGGAAATGCTTTTGATGTCACAACTGGGAAGTAGGGGTGCTTCTGATATCCAAGAGGCCAGGGGTGATGTTGGATATTCTACAAGGTACATGACGGCCCCTCCACAACAAAGAATTCTCCAGCTCCAAATTTCAGTAGCATCAAGGTTGAGAAGTCTAAACCCAATGGTCTCAACCAAATCCTGTTCACAGAGAGACCTTTGTCCCCCCAGGAGCTGCCCTACAGGCCACATAACAATAGCTCTGCCTGCCCTTAGTCACCACCATCCTACCTTTCACAGAAATAGCTTCACTATGGATCTTGTTTTATGGTGATGGGTGATTCTCATCACCCATACCCATCTCTAGACAATATATTTCAATCCTGCCTTTTTTAAATACTTGTCTTTCCTTTTATTGACTGGTTTTTAGGACAATTAATTTTCTGCCTTTCATCTTCCACAGCTTACCAATCAGGGTTTTTGTTTAATATCACTATGAACACATGGATTTACACACACCTGAAAATTTTAATCGATCGCAATTACTGCCCTTTTCCAGGCTCGCCCTGACCCATCGTTGGCCCGTGGACGCCCCGTAGGTTGAATCCTTCCTATGGGACCCTAGTCTTTGGCAGTTTTTTCTCTCCCTGGTGTGTCAAGATGGTCCAGGCTCATCTTGTATATTTCCTACCCTAGCCCTGGAACCAACCATTTCTCCAAAAAGCCCTGGAAATTATTCTTATTTTTGTAGGAAATTATATTTCAAGACCACAATGTAGATTCCTGGGATTCTAATTTCTGCTGACTTAGTTTTATTTTTTTATTTTAAGCTTTTTTTTTTTCTCATAGACAGAGTTAGGAAATATACCAATATTTCTTTTAAATATAAAGTGCCAGACTTCCCTGCTGGTCCGGCAGTTAAGAATCTGCCTTGCATGCAGGGGACAAACCGATACTTCCAGTGGAAAACTGAGGACTACAGCGTTTTGACTTAAAGTCATTTACATTATACCCCTTATCATTTATCTTCTACATTTAGAATTCTGGCCCTTAAGGATACAATAAATACAAATATAAAATCAAATATACAAATATACGCTACCTCACAGTTGTTCCTCTGTTCTATCCCACACCCACACGCTCAACAGTCTTGGATGATGACACTAATATCACCAGCACAAATACGGTTGCTGAAACGATGACATTTCCCCCCTTGTTCTCCCTTCTCTCCTTCCTCCCTCCACTTTCCCCGTCTCGTCTGAGTCGACTTTGTCAGGCGCTGCTCTCTGTTCACGCAGCTTCGGGTCTACATCCACCGCCTGAAACTCAGCTTCTGATGGAATCCCCAGGACCCTGGGATTGTGGTTATAATTGAAGGAAAGTTATAGGGCTCAAAATAGCCTGGAGTTAAAAGTCCCCTCCAGGTCCTCCCCACCGTTCTATGCAAAACATTAAGGTTGATTAGGCCCAGATTCCAGCCGGTCCAGCCTCTGGCGATCTCCAGAATTCCTTGCCCCAGCCATTTAAGAGGTAACTACTCCGAACAACCCTGGAGAAGAACAGGCCCGGTTAAGACAGTAGCTTTCCACACCCAAGCCTGTATAGACTCACTCTTTTCCTGGGTTAGGGCAGCAGCTCCCTAACCTGACTGCTGCCCCTTCTGGCCTCATTAAAGGTGATCTGTTCCTGTAAAGGGCCGAACCTTGCCTTCTCTAACTCCCTTACCCTACAATAATATTTCCTGATTTCTTACAGACTGCCCGTTGCCTGTGATCTTATGCTTGCAAGTCTGTTTTACCAGCTAGCTATACAGTATTCAGCTCATGTTTTCCTTCCTGAGTGTTCAGTGTTTCTCTACGTCTTCTGGCAGAAA